TTTTCATTTTTATCTTATTTTCTAAAACATTCTCTCTTTTTTAATCTCATTTTAATTATCCACCTACAAGGCTAGATCAACCAAATTTAAAAGTGTTTTAATTTTTTTTAAATTTTTTTTTTTTTTTTCACTAATGATAGAAATACTATAAAACTCCAAAAACGTATAGTTGATTGTCCATTGGCAATACGAAACACCTTTACATTTTTACACCAAGCACAAAGGTGAAAAACGAATCAAACTAAGAGATCCAAAGACTCATCAAGGGAGACCCAAAGACAAAGCAAAAAAAAAATAACACATCACGCACACAAAACATAAAAATAAAAATAAACCTACAACAATACAATAAATTAAAGTCCTCAGTGCCTGCAAGCTACTCCAAAAATCACCCACGAAGCTAACACCTGGTGGCAACCACCAAGAAAGACAAGACTCCGGCCCCAAATACAGAACTAGAAACTCCGAGTTCCTGAGAAAAGCTTTAGCTACCGACCGCCAAGAGGTTGGCGAGCGTCGCTCACAGCCTACTTTGAAGCGCCCAGTCTTTGGGTACCCGTCGAAGTCGTCTGCCGAGTAAGGGGCTACACACAAGGAGAATACGCAACCAGTTCCCGACAAGAGACTGCACGAATGTCGGTTAACATCGCGGAGGACCAAAGAGTTTGGCGGCAGGGAAGAGGCAGCCAAGAAAAAATACGAAGGTTTCTTTTATGTGGGGCTTTTCTTGAGGAGAGGCCAAGGCGTCTTTGAGAATTGAAACCAATATTTTTTGTTTAATTTTTTGATATTGGAATAAACTGGGACTTCCAATTTCCAAATTACTGATGTAGTTTGCATTCCGAGTTTTATTTTTAGGTAATAAAGGCCATATTTTTAAAAATGGGACTGGACTTGAACACTTCATTCCAATTTAGATGTTCCCTACTAGAGCAATGCTCGTGAACACACTCACAAGTACAATAAAAAAAAAACAAATAATAAATTATTTCATAAGCTCAAGCTGAATTATATACCTCCTATTCTTTTTAAATGTCATTTTAACTGTATCAACTATTAACAAAATAAATGTCGTTTTGAATATTTTGAACATGTTTTTCTATTATTACCATCCATTTAACTAATAAATATATTACATCTTTTCATATTCACTCTTTATCTTTTTTCAAAACATTCATTTCTATCTTCATTAAATAAGGTTATTATGGGTAAAAAAAATATTCTTGATTACTATGCAACTTCTCAAAACGACAATTATTATGAATAGGAGGAAATATCATTTTTGCGAGTGTTCTTAGAATTAAGCAGGAAAATCAACTTAACCAAGATAAAAGCAATCTACTAGTGTTTTTTTTTTTTTTTTTGGATTTTGATAAGACATTGTAATTGTATTTAAACATTAAAATAATTTATATTTGTTAAAGTATGGTGAAATATAAATCTACTCAAATATCATAAAAATGGTTAATTTTTAATTAGCAATTTGAGGACAACTTTTCTGGCATCGTGTGAATGTAATAATGTTATCACTTATCACACCAATTTATGGGGTTTCGTACGAAAACAAACTTTTTCAACGGGATCTTATCTCCTATTCTCTCAAACACGAAAACAAAAATGGACAATTTTTTTTTTTTTTTTTTTTTCAGTACAACGAAGAAGGCCAGAGGCCTAAGGCCTAAATGACTAGGCTAACACTCTACACGGGTAGGATACCCCGATAGTGTCATGGATAAATTTTGACATAATGCTTCATTGATATCTACCAAAGTGGGGCGACTAAGTTTAGCAATTTATCCTATACAATGTTGATTACCTGACAAGAAACTCAAAAAAGAGTCATATTTGGTCAACCACAATTTTGACTTCAACGTCCATTTAAGCGGCAGATAACTTCAAACGAGGAATAATATTCATCGACTGGAGCTCCTGAGATCAAAAGAGGGGGAAAAAATTATCAAATTATTCCTCCTTCATTTACTTCAAGCAGGATCTGAAGATTGATGGAGTTAGTCAATTAGTTTGCAGCATATATATATGCCAACAATCTAACAAACTTGAGATTTTGGCATAGTAAATGAACAGTGTTTGATAATTTAAAGGCTTTAAATCGCCCGGTTCGTCTTTTCCAGTAAAACTGATGGTTACTGCATAGTAAAATTTCATTTATGCTAGGGCAGAGTGCAATACTAACAGAGCTACAAAACCTACAGGGATCGATATATTTAAATTTCCAGTCAAAACACATAAAACCTTAAGGAAGAAACAGAGGACCATTATGCACCATTTTCAAACAGCAAAAGCACCAATCGGCATTTACCTGGATTAAAAGCTTGCATGCATAAGGCATTTTAACAGAGGACATATTCTGCACGTCCTTACAAGTAGAACAATAGCCTGTCTTTAGCTTAAAGTTGTGATATCCCAGGAGACCACACTTCTCGCACACCTAAAAGCAGACACGGTTTTACTCGACAGAAATGAAAGAAGAAAAAGCAAATGACATTTCACAAGAAAGATGAAACTTTCCTAACCACGGCCTTGTGCTAGGGAAAAATATGAAGGTGGTAAATTATAACATCTGGAGACCTTTACCTGGGCCTCATAAGGATCACTACAAATCATAAACCGCTCGTACGTTAACAAACTGGCTCCAAAAGCCAGTAAGCAGTCTCGTTCCATTTCTCCTACACGTAAACCTGTTCAAAAAGATGCTGGAACTTATCAGACACCAGATTGATTTCCTGTTAAACGAATAAATATAAAGTACAGGCAGAAAAAAAAAAAAAAACGTATATTATATCAAATTCTCAAACCTCCATTTCTAGCCTTTCCAGCTGTAGGCTGTCTAGTCAGCATAACTCTGGGCCCACCAGCTCGAGCATGCATTTTATCCAAGACCTAAAATTCAATGGGAAGTAGAAATCCCGAGATTGTACATCAATAAGACATACCCATGTGTGACTAAAACCAACATGTACCACAATCAAAGCATAAAACGTACAGCTAAGGCGGGTAGTGTTAACTTGAGAGTTATTACTCACCATGTGTTTTAACTTCTGGTAATAAATTGGACCCATGAATATATATGCTTGCAGTGGCTCGCCAGTAATGCCTAGAATACATATACAGATTAAAATATGAGACTGAATATACAGATTAAAATATGAGACTGAACCCACCACAATCTCAATTTCGAAGTAAATATAAAATTATGTATCTATTAAATAAGATGCGTAGCTTGTCACCCTAATTTTATGTGACAGGAAAGATTTTCAGCTTTGATTAAGCTCATGCTAAAAAAAACCCATTCCTATAAATAGCAATTTCTCCTTCCCACAGATTCTAAATAATTTGTATTTCTTAAACTTTGCTTCAGCAGCATTAGCACTGAAGTCATTGACAAAGTTAAAAAGTATTTAGTTATTTCACCGTACACTATAACAAAGAGGTGGTACACTTGACAGTCAAGTCTTAGAGATCATGTCACAGCCGGAAACACGTGCTAATGACAGTTATATCAATTGTTCCAGTACTCTCAAGGGAAATATCATAATTATGGACAGTTGAATAAACTGTTCTTGCATGTTATTTCATATTACTATCGGAAATGAAACAGACAAGGCTGATAGAAACACCTGAGTAAATGAAGTCTTTGCCGTTGTAGCTAAAACCGTGATTCACAAGGGTTTCACTGACAAAAATGGAATATGATCATAGAAGGTTATCAAGACTAGACATATACGAGACGAATGTGTGGGTCAGGTAGAAAATTGAAATATAACATTAGATACCTTAATGTTTCAACTTTATCTGCATGACCACTAGGCTCCCCAAATGCACTTCCATAATGAAACCTACCACATGAAACTCCAGCTTTGCTACCAAGAAGTTCTATCATCTTTCCCACAGTCATACGGCTGAGATAAAATTAAAGCAAGGGAGTAAATTTATAGGGATCGAAAGGCTGGGCTTTTATCAAATCGCAGCCATAAATAATTACCACAATTTAAAAATACATAATCTGCCATTAAATTGTGCGATTTTCATAGTCCATAAGATAAAACAATTCCTAACAGGCGGCCTGAATCTTCACCGTTGGATGTGTACAGATTCGTTAAATACAGGTAACACTTAGCTGAAGAAAAAAAAAAGGAATTTGTCAGATTTCCTGATTTTTTTCGCCTTTTTTTTTCTGGTTGTTGCAAATGATATATTTGTGTGGCTTATACATACATAGGATCATATAGAAACTATTTCTTAATGTAGGAACTAGGAACCATTATAAAATACGATGTACTGCTATAATATATGTAGTGCAAAAATCTGTTATATGTTCTGCTATTATATATGTAGCGATAACAAAGCTAAAAATAATATTACACTGCTAAAGTAGCAATATGTTTAATGTATTTTAGCAGGGTTCCTAATTCCTATGTAAGGATGGTTTCTACCAGATCCTAACGCTATATATATGTATATATATCAATTGCTACAGCCAACTTCTTAAAAGATGTGCAAAAAGATCCTGACACTTCAGTTGTAGCAACTTGAGAAAAGTCTAAGTGCAATAATAGCCTGAAGCTGAAGTTAGTTTGTTTTCCTATTTTCCTCCTTAGGAGAAGGAAAAATGCAGCTTAATATATTGGCATATGAAAAAAACTGTAGTTGGTCCAACGAGCTCTTTTCCCCAAGTCAATTTCTAGGCCTAAAATAAAGCAAACCCTAATGAGCTTCTCATTCACCAAAAAGCCTCATTATTCTAGGGATGTATACAACAAAGTTTGAACAGAACATTCAAGATTCGTGTCATTGATTATAAGATTTGATTTGTCACTCGAAAAAATATTTACCTAGGAAATCCATGAGGGTTCATGATTAAGTCCGGACATATTCCCCTTTCTGAAAAGGGTAAATCTTCCTGCTGAACAATGGTGCCACAAACTCCTTTTTGCCCGTGGCGGCTGCTAAATTTATCACCAACCTAGGCCAAAATAAGAGAAAAAATCCTCATTTATTGAATATCTTACAATAGACATTTCAACTCATGAAACTGACAGTTAGATCAGTCTTAACTACCTCTGGCCTCCGAGTATCACGGATCATTAATTTGATGCATAGATTGTCATTCCTGTCACAGCAGAGTTGGACTTTATCCACAACAGTGTTTTCGCCACTAGAACCACCGTATCTAAGTGGAGTATGATAGTATGCGCTGAATATATAGCCAAACATGAAAGTGACTCAATCAGTAGATCGAATGAAAATTTAAAGATATATTTTTAAAGAAGCAACAAAGAAAAAGAAGAAGGTAAACAAAATCAAAACCTATCAGACACATCCACATGAAAATTGCGTTTGCCCCTGGTGACTTTAGGAGTCCGCTTGTTTATATAGATATCATCCTTCCGAATAATTTGTCCAGGAGCAGCTATGCCATCATTGTCTAAAATCTGAGAATAGCAAAAAACTAAAATTAAGATATATAATCCTATTTATTATTGGTGAAAAAGAAACTATGAATAAGTAATGGCAATCCAACCCATCTCTTTGTCCATGCAGTGTATAAAAATAGTAGTGTAATATTTTTAAAAAAGGAAACAAAATCCACGGAGCTTGTTTTCCTCGGGAAAAACACTGGTTCTGCCCAAATAGTAAACTAAATAAAAAATTAAAGTGAAAAACTTAAAGGACTTTCTGCTGGCTATGCCATTGTGCACAAAATAAAACGCATGTGTAGTCCTGCTTTCCTGCCAACTAACCTAGTTTCACAAAACAAATGCCAATGGAAACAGACCATAAAGCTTTTCACCAATTATATATATATATAATACAGAATAAAAACCCATTGATTCCATCTGTTGAATGTTTGTTTCTGGTAATCGGACCCAGAGCTTCTTTCTCTGCCCCTTACGGAAACAAACATTCCCTTTTATTTAGGAAGTCTATTCCTCGATTGTTTTGTATAGGGACAGTTGTCCCTCGATACTATGTAATTTCCTTTGAGTTATATATTATCCCTGTCGTTTCGAAAAAAAAAAAAAAAAAAAAAAAAAAAAAAAAAAAAACCAATTGATAAAAGAATACCTGCATGACTTTAGATCCTTTTTGCGGCCCCATAATACAGTCAGAAGTGCCATTCTCATATTTCTGGATAACTGCAGACGTTCTGTTCGTAGGTAATTAATTCTATTCACAAAAACTTTCTCTACTAAATAAAACTGAGTGAATAATTCTGAAATAGCAAAAAAGAATATGGATAAGTACCTTTTCATTACAATGCAGCGCCCAAAACCATGATCCAAGGACGATTTATTCATTACAATTGCATCCTCTATGTCGTATCCACTATAACTCATGACTGCGACAGTTGCATTCTGTCCAGCTCCCAGTTTATCGTAGTTGATCTGGAAAAGGGAGGGAAAAATAGTAAAACGAATTTAAAATTACATATATAAAAGTGCTTGTTAACAAGAGGCTTTTCCATCCACTAACCAGCTCAATAGCTCGTGTCGTTAGTAATGGCCGTTGTGGATAAACTAAGAGGTACACTAAAGTATCCATCCTACATAACTGCGAAAAAATACATCTAGTTAGATGATTCAGAAAATGAAATGTTGTCTGCAACCCTAGCGTACAGCACAAGTTGATATCTATACATATATAATATACAGTAATGCTCCCCTACCCACGGTGGGTACATGTTAATATGTCCACCGCTAATGTGGCATGCACACATTGGTGATGTATTTTTTTGAACATATTAACATCACCAATGTGTGCATGCCACATAAGCGGTGGGCATATTAACATGTTCTCACCACGGGTAGGGGAGCAATATCCATTTAATATATGTACACAATGTAATCGTGAAGTTCTAGAATAGATATGGAAAATACAACTTCAACTAGAAAATGTTTAGTAATGAAGCTTATCCGCTAGGTAAAATTTGAAGCAAACTTGTAAAGCAACAGATATTCTAATGGAAAGTTCACATTTTCCGAATGTCATGATGCATAACAGTGAACATCACTCACTCATTATCTTCCATTATGCATCACAATATAAATGACAATACAGAAAGCTTTTTTAATTCAGTTGTTACAAACTAGTTCAACCACTACGTCTAGAAAGTAAGCTTAAATAAATTGCCAAGCACAATGTAATGTCACAAGCACTTGTTCAGCATATGTATGAACAACATTGCATGAATGCCAAAGATCTTAGTTCACCAAATGCACGACTAGAAATGTAATCTATGGAAACTGTACAGGGACAAAAGTAACTTGCCTGATTATATGCAATGTTGCCCATAGCCTGCTTACCCATAGCACACTTCACATGGAAACATAACAAAAATAATGAGTAAACACAGTTTGAGGAGACACAAACTTATCCAAAAGAAGAAAAAGGCAATACATTATACCTGATATGTATTTCTTGGTGACTGGTTATGATGAGGATATGGGATCAGCCCAGCAACCACACCCAGTATGGTAAAAGGCTCAATCTCGATATGGGTTGTTCTTTCATTAGCATCCTTTTCATATAAGGCAATCTAGAAGGATATGTACCGTCAGGAGGGCTATAATAGACTACAACGAAAAAATGAAAAAGAATCTTAAATTTAAGAAACAGATGCAAACCAAAGCATTGTTTTCCTCATTGGCATCAAGATATTCGACCAAGCCTTCTTTCAGAAAACTGTCAAACGTACGGAGTCCATCCTTCAAGTAAAAAAGTCCCTTTTTAACCAGAATGATCGAATTAAAAGTGATGACATATCAAGCATGTTATAGCAATTACCTTCAATTCCTTCATATGGTGCTCCTTAATTCTTGACACGCCTTGGTCTGCAATTACAAGTGGACGGCAGACACGTCCACCATCTGAAGCAATGTAAACACGACGCTGCAAGAGGATTTTGTTATTAGAATCTAAGATTGTAAATTATTTTAGTACTTGTTACGAAAATACAAGATGACAAACAAAACCAAAGTTTAGAAAGGGACAACTGATTATATCTGCTGCAATAGTTAAGTTGGAACAAAATCAGCCAACAAATAAATTCTGCTACGTAATATAATCTACAGGAAGACCCGAACGCCACCAACATTATGTGGACAACAGCGTGAAAAAAAAAAAAAAAAAAAAAAAAAAAAAAAAATCAAGATCGACGTTCTACAATTTATAGTCAGAGCCTTCTGGGTTGATATTATTATAATATGAACAAATGCATCCACTAGCTCTACAAAATTACAATATAATCGTGTACACAATTAAGTTCTCAGTAATAAGAGCTCACCTGTGTTCTATTCACAAAGACGCTTATGAACTCGCCAATTCTACCAACCCTTCGCAGTTTTCTCATTGCATTGGCAAATCTCTTAAAAGAATCGAAAACATAAACAAAACAATGTAAAATCAAAAAGGAAAAAGAAACAAAAAGAAGATAATTGACAACAAAACAAAAGAGGGGTTCGACAGTGTTCTAGAACCGTACCTCCGGCTTCCTGTGCTTTCCAAGAATAAGTCCGTTGAGTATAATCAAATAGGAGTTTGGTACATGTAGTTCTTCACCTGAGAGTGAATCCAGTTCTTCTACACCAAGAGAGTAGCACTGCAGACACAAACAATGCACAAGTTATTGTATATCAGCATGCAAAGAATATTTTAAAATCTAACGTCTAGTCAACTCAATTAAATCCCTAAGCAGCAACCTTTGTAGCCACATAGGTCATATACAAAGCTCAATCCTGTAAAATAAAAACAAAGACCATAAAAGTAGAGCCCATGACTTCAGATTTATCGCTTTATTGTTTTTCCTCCTAGTAATTGAAAAATGGGCTTGGATAGAACTCAACCCCAAAAGCTAGCTCAAAGAAAAGAAGGTACCTAACCCATACTGTACACAATAACAACCCAGTAACTCATTGATATGGGACAAACAAAACTTCTAATATACCTTCCCTCACACATAGCATGCCAATCCAACTGGGTCGGGTCCAAACCCTACATCGCCTCCAAACGGATAAACACAATGGGTGCTCTAATACCATGATAAATGGGTCTGGGTAGAAATCATCCCCAAAAGCTAGCTCAAAGGGAGAGGGTGCCCAACCCACCATAATAGCAGCCCAATAAACTAATCGATGTGGAACAAACATAACTTCTAACAGTTTTCAATTCTCCAATTGCTTCAATAAGGCTAATTTACGGAAATATAGAAGGATGGAAAGATGTATATGTAGATAGAATCAAGAGCTGGCAAACTGAGCTTTTTTCAAATGATGTCAAAGAGTAACCTTAAAAATAAATCAAATTTGACAATCTTCCCCATTTAAGGTAAATACCTAAAGTTGACAGTAAACACTAGAGTTCTCTAAACAGGCAAGATACTTCATTCTACCATAGAAGAAGTTGGAAGCTACCGAGAGCAACAAGCTGCCAAGACAGGACTGCATACCAGAGACATGAGAGGTCCTTCGTCCTCATCAGTAGTTACATGAGTCATCAATGCAAGATTTTTCACCAATCCAGTGCCTTCACCTTCAGGGGTATCACATGGGCACAACATGCCCCACTGCAGATGAAATGATCTAAGTGAGATCACACATGGAACTGATTGATAATATCGAAGAATCAAATAGAGCAAATGTTACCTGGCTGGGTTGTAGAGCTCTTGGGCCGCTAACTTTTCTTGATTTTTCAAATTGTGGATGAATCCTTGTCAATTGACCCAAAGTTGCAACATAAGAGCCCCTGGCAACAACCTGAATGGAACATAGCCATCAACCCCAACATAAAAAAAAAAAAAGAAAAAAAAAAGGAGAGAGATGGTTGGGCGGAAACAGGGACAAAAGGTCTTAAAATACCTGTGTCATTCCCTTGCGGTGATACCTGAATCTTCTGATATCCCAATTTCCAGTAGAAAGAGATCTTTCTAGACCAACAGTAATGCTATCTTTCACTATACTCTGAAAGTACAGGAAATGAAATGTCAAACTTAAGAAAAAAGGAGGCAGTAAAAATATCTTCATTCTAAGTAATACGACCTATTGCCAGCTATATCACCGGAGCATGAGAACAAGTGTGAAATATAATGGCACTCTGTATAACATAATTATCATGTCAAGAAGAAGCTGAGACACCAAATTTATGTGGTTAACTTGTAAAAGAACACAACCAAAAAATTGAAGTAGAAAAATCATATACGAGTAACCACAACCTATGCAGCCAATAACTTCAGCTTTTAATTTACAATATCAGGTAATACAAACAAATAAGAATATATGGGACACGTCAACTTATGGAAACAAAATACATGTTGATTTAAGCATATATACCAAAGCATCTTCTCAGCTTTAGATAGTAGCATTGGAACAAACATGTGAAAATATTGCAGCACATGACAAAGAAAGATAAAGCAGAAGGAATCCCAAGACATGCTGTGGTGTATTAAATAGACCACAAATAAAGAGATTAAAATTCTCATCAAATATTTGGGTGTATCTAATGACTAACAGGTTTTCTTTTATATGCTAAATGTCAATAATCAAACATTCAAAACTACACCCAAGGACAACTACCGGGAGAATCAATTAGGGTAATTAGACTGGGGTATATTTTGTGTACTGTTATCCGGGCCTGTGGCATACTTTCATTCTCCTGGGCAACGCTTGTTTCACAGGACACATGAATACATTAGTGAGACACTGAACAAAACCTTCCAACAACATGCAACCCATACAGCTTTTATTCCTAACAAAGACCAAGAGAGAAATAGTAGGGTGGAGATAGCCGAGGTTTAATTTTATCAAGACAATTTACACATTTTCATGAGCATTTTCTTAATCCCGGGTATCAGAAGAAACCTGAGAAATGTCAAAAAATTGATTTGACCTTGCTAACTTCTTATCAATTGTATTGCGGACTTCGGCATTCAATGTCTTGAACAAGTCCTACAGTACAAAGTACAAAAATATAATATCTCCAGTGTAACCATAATAGAACATTGTGTGCAAAGGAAGACAACAGAAGTACCTCAAAAAGTAACGAGAGCATCTGGCCGGATAGTTCCAATCGCTTGTTTCCCACGTAATCCTACAACAATGAATATTTTAAGGATCTAAAATTTGGTCACATCCCCATCCAGACATATATGATTTGGCAACCAATAATGTTTACTATGGGCATAAAAAGTTAACAAAAACAATAAATCAAGGGAACTGTAATAGTAGTCAACTAAAATTATTGTAACAACTTCTATCATTTTACTCCTTTTGTTTTCACCATTTCAAACTTACTTTTCACAAATCACAGATAATAGAATGACAATTGCATCTCCAAATTACAAAATTAAAGAAGCCGCTCATAACCTCCACCACTTTCATCTCTATTTTTCCAATAATCAATAAAATGAGTTTTGTTTTTAGCTTCCATGTGTTAAATTAACCATTGAACGAACATAATCGACTAGTTGATATCACAAGTGGAAAATATAAATTATTGTACATCAGGTTTCCGTAGAAGAGACCCATATATGGTTTTTTTTTTTTTTTTGGTACAAAGAAGGAGGCGAAAGCCTAAGACCATCAAGTAGGTACGGACCGTGGATAGGCCACGCCAATAAGGTCGTGTTGTAACCACGGACCCATATATGGTTTTAACTGTCTACTCTGAGATGGGTCATCCAAAGAAGGAAAGTATAACACATATAAGGTCAAGATTAATTAATTTGGTTCTTTCCCCCTTAAACTTCTCTAATAGAACATGGCAACATTTTTTGTTGGCTACAAATATTGTTTCTACAATGCTGCCAAGAATTTTTGGCTGAAACGGAAAAATATAGATCACTACCCAAGGGACTCATACTATTTATGAAAGCAAATAACTTGAAGTCCACAAAGGTTGGAACATTCTCAGTTTGACATTAAAACAAAAAGGTAGGCCATGATATATTAGGAAGGAAAAAAAATGCATCCAAGGAACTCATAGTGATTTTATTTGGCATGTGATTTTTATGGATTAGATAATAAGTAAATTCTTAGAATCAATATCCACCTTTAGGTGGGTTCATACACCCTGGGTTAAGTATTATATTACGCATGCATGATGCATCTATTGGAATGAATCTAAGAAGAAATGGTAAACCAGTTGCTTTAGTTACTGAAAGTTGCCGATTCAAGAAGGTAGAGCTGATATACCTTGTCATCTATTGCATCCTTGTTTAAGATAGCTTCCATCATGCGCCTCAACATAAGAGCAACATATATGCATTTTGGTCGGAAATTATTCTGACTCATCTGTGAGGGAATTTTTTTGGGTTTAGGGTGGAATTTTGAGCTTTGGTTATAAGATAAACTACAGTATAGTAATAACTTTCGCCATAACTGAACTTGAAATTGCACTTACAGGGACATTGGCAAGAAATGTATCCTGAAGGATACTCAAAGCATGCCCCTCCTGAATGCCAAGTTATTTGAGAAAATGGCAAAAACCATAATAATAAATTCCTCAATAACAATTAATAATATAAAAAAATATATATCAATAATAACAATAAGCAAACTGACCTCATCCATGGTGTAATATGGTGACTTAACCTACAACATGGAACAGTAATGAGTAGAAGAAGTTTTGAAAAACAATAAGAGCATCATTCTGACTACAAAATATATTCTTCTCGATTAAATTATGTGGCAGTGTCATGTTCCTAATAGAGTATAATAGAGTAGAAGCACCTCAGATTTGCAATGCAATTAAATAATTAATAGTTAATAACCTTCATATATGTATAACAATGCTTTTATGCATCCACAATACAGTGATTATTCCTTTTTAAACAATAAGCACTAAAATCTATTATTTTCTTCCATAAATAAAAAGATATTATGACCATATTAAACGTTCCTATTTTGTAACTCACCTAACATAAAGGATTCATTAAGAACCAAAACAAAAAACTCCTCGTTGGCTAATAAAGTATTTAAGTACAGATAAACTATTAAGCTATTCACCTGATACTTATGAAAACTAAGGAACCTTCCTTTTAAGATATATCATCAGTCAATTCCAACAAAATTCACGTATACAATACAAAACTATGGCACCACTAAGAACTTTAACTTGACAATAAGGGGTTAATGGGTCAAGAATTAAACATCCAACTCCAAACTGACCAACTTAGTTGGATGGGTCACTAATCCTAAAACTGAAGGTATCAAGCAGAATATGAAATGTAGGTAAGCAAATTTATCTGAGCAAGCAACTATATCATAGGCCACTATAAGTCTATGCACATAGGTTGATCTGAGCAAGCAACTGTATCAATCAATTTATACAAGGCGTAGCTACTGCTTTGACATTCATTCTTCTAGTTGATTAAATATTATTTCAGGAAATGATCACAACCATGTCTTTAAGGAACCACAGTGCCTCACGTTGAGTGCGTACAGCTACCTCCGCACATTCCTGAAATCAAGACACAAAACCAAGCACAATATCAAAATCTACATGAACTATTAAACTAATAGAAGCTTTTAACAACTGGAAACAGGATTATGGGTACCTTAATTGAAGGCATTAACAGCTCACCATACCGAGGGTACCTTCCAATCATCTGGACAACCTCTTGATCACTTTCCATACCCATAGCTTTCATGACAACCATGATTGGAACCTAGAAAATTATATTAAATCGAGATTTAATGTCGTGACAAAATATGGAATTACAGACAGGGAGAGGCAGGGATAGTCATGATTATTCATATCAACCTTGGTCTTAAACTGGTTCAGGTATACATAAAACTTCTCTCCCTCCATTTTTATAACCGTCAAACTCTTTTTTTTCTGTGTTAGGCTCGTGACAGATGCTTGCACCCTGGTAGAAGGGAAAATGATACTATATGATTCAGTAACAAGATATATCACCAGTCAAGGAAATGAATTTAGTAAAAGTTCTATTTCCTATCTTTCTCCTTTTTCATTTACAACAATGTATATCCATTACCAGATCTACATATTATCGTATCCTTAATAGCACGAAACTATATATCTTAAGGACTGAATGAATCACATTTTTCCAAATCTCATAAGCTGCTGAGTTGTTTCCACCAGCTAAAAACTGAAGAAGATCAAAATCTATCTAGATTCATCAACACCAAATGCAGAGTAACTCACTGAGAAAATAAAATATCTCAGTTGTAGAATAAAATTAAACATCCAGACCTCCCAAGATAATTTTTTTTTTTTTTTTTTTTGTATGGGGACGCGTTGTTCTCGTCAAACTACTCGAAGTGTATAGCCAGCCAGTCAACTTAAAAATGCACTTCAGGCAAGGTATAAGGGACATGAAGTACTATCTCATAACAAGAAAGAACTAAATATGATGAAACCTACGGACCTGCCCATTCTATCAACATCAATGATTATCCTGTTCTTTGATAGTTGTTCTTGTATCATTATCACCTGGAATAAAAAATGAAGAATAAGCACCATATTGACCAACTAAAGATCTGATCAACAATAATTATAGAGTAAAATACATTTGGTCTCAAGGAGATAAATTTGAGTTAAATAAGAGCAATGACATTCTTGATATGAAAAACAAGAAATCTTGTGAACAAGATTAAATACCAGTAAAAAAAGGTCAATACAGGAAAAGTTAACTTATGGAAGTATCACCTTCTCTGCACCTTTGACGATAAAATATCCTCCAGGATCAAGTGGGCATTCACCTAAAGGGGATGAATAAAATACATAAAGCATGAGAAACAAAAGTTACATGAATATAGTGCTTGGATTTATATTATGAAATCAAGAAGATATACCATATCTGGAACGTTCTTCTTCATCCTTCCCGTACAAAATGCAACAACAACTTCTTAACATGATAGGCATTCTTCCAATAGTTACGTCCTTCTGAAAAATATAACCCAAAAAACAGTGTTTAATTTAGCTTGCAGCTCTTTAGAACATCTTAGATGCTAGATGTTAGGATCCTATAAGTTGTTTTTAGATGTTAAAACCAGATCTTACATAAGCACCTCAGAATTTAACCTTTAAGTGCTCATAAGATTTTCTGGAAAACATGAACCAATCTTCCAAGAGTAGATATCGTGCTTAGACATAGTGATGTTCAAGACAGGTAAACCTTTCATAGGGAAATAATACTGAATATATATCACCTTTGTTTGGGTTTCCCTTGAACCACGGCCGCTTCTTGTAATATATTCTATGTTCACGTATATTGGGGAAGCATATCTGAAATAAATCACCATGGAGCAGTTAAAATGTAGTAAGCAAAGTGATGGGCTTGAAGGCAAACTCTTCTCTTGTTTATAGGAAGAACCAAAAAAAAGAACAAAGGAATCTCTAAGTAAGCTCTGTTCAAATTAAAAAAGAACACACCAAATGACAAATGATTGTTCAACGTTATCCAAGCACCTATCATGCACTCTAGTACACCCTTGTTGTTATAAATATTAACTTCAGAAAATCAACAAACCCTAAAAAGGACCGCCTACACTTCAGGCAACACACAAAAACAAATAGAAAGAAATGATAAATAGAACTTGTTAACCCAAACATGCATTACACATAGCACAGAATATAGATCCAAACTCCTCAGGATAACTACATGTGTCATGTTGCAGACTAAAAAAACTACCAGGATGTATAAAACAGTGGAAAAGTATGATAAAATCTTCCATCCTCATATTATACAACAAACATTCAATGGGTTAAATCCTTCAGTTTCCAGGAAATCCATTACCTAAATAAGTAAAAATAAGTTAAATAGAGGAAACATGAGTATTGTTTCCCCTTGGCTCAAACTTCAAAGACCCATCATGCAAGGATAAATCTTTCATTTTTTATTTTTTTTTTCACAATAACGTTGACATTTATTAGGATAAAAAAAATCTACATATATGCCATATCGCAAGTCCACCCAACATCAATGAACTTAGGACGTCCTCTGCAAATATGGAACTCTAATTTTCTATCAAAGGTCCTTAGGCATATGCAAAGGAAAACTAACAACTGACACTCACGTGATCTCTGATAGCCGACACGTTTGGGGAGTGAGCTCTTCGGAAGATCCATCTATCGTCAATGATGGCTTACCAATACGAACATCTGTGTATCTGCATCCAATTAGGCAATTACCTTGAAACTGAATGGCATAAATTTCAAAACATTGATAATAATAAATTCTAGTGTATGGGCAAATGTAACCATGAACTTTTTCCAACAAGATGAAAAGAAACTTAAATTACAAATGAGAATTGTCACCTCAAATAAATACTCGGGTCAATGCTAGAGGTTATGAGATCATTGGCTTGAACAATCTTTTTTATCTCTGTCCTCACGAAATAATTGAAGGAGTCCAAGTGTTGTTTCACAAGTCCTCTTACCTACATTTGTAGATTAGCCAGCAGTTTAAACTTCCAGTAAACTCAAGGTACCCCTTCTTCTAAAGGGAAAAAAGAGGGAACAGAAAAGATGAGATCACAAGGGCAAGTTATACATGATTGTGACCGCATAACGAACGACCTTATAGTAATCTACTCTATATTAATGCTCAACTAGTAAAAAAAAACTCGGAACACATGATATAACCGACACCTTATGAAGGATACAAAATGGAATCCGAAAACGATCTCCCACTCAAGTGCTAATATATCAAACTGAAGCCACAAAATGCCACCAAACTAAATACGTCCACACCGATTTTCACTAACAATTTTCCCACTTCCATAGAACTATGATATATAGTCAATCAGAGAAAGCCTCTCCTCGTTTCCACCTTGTAGCACTCAGGTAAAAACAAAATTACCTTCAAGAATTCAGGGACTAATTGGAACTTGTCGACGGCATTCATCACAGGTGCAACAAGGGCTTGCCTATCGATTCCCAAACTATTAATCCAAAGAAAAAATAAACAAAATTCATCAGACAATCAACAGGCCCATCATAATAAGAATACCGCATTGATATTGAGTAGCAAGGTTAATAATAAATGTCTAAGGATTTTTGTATTAACTAAGCGTACCCCTTCCCCTGCAAATTATCGAACAAACCAGGCTCGTCTTCTTTCACCACCATTCTCAAAGAGAGGCGCGCTGTAGGAGTAGAGGACCAAGGGTTTGAAGCAAAACTCTCTTCCTGAAACGTTTGGTTTGCAGGCTCATGCAATACCCATCCGATTTTTTAATATATACCGAATAGAATGTGCTTATATGGAATCAAAGTATAACGAGTAACTGGGTGGGTTGGCCATCATATTTTTATAATAAAAATAAATACTTTGAGGGAGAGCTTTGCCGCCCTTGTGGTCCTACCCGGCTCGATTCCGGATTAGTCGGTTCCCCTGTAGATTCGGAAATCGGAAGGTCCTTGTACCAAAAAAAATACTTATATTTAAGATTCAGATAATGCGGATACGATATGGTCGTAGTTGCAAAAATTTAATAAATCAAAGTATTTTGGACCTCGTTCTACGTGGTGCACAATTTCGTGGAATGTAGGTAGTGGCTAAAAATAAATATTTATATTTAAGATTCAGATAATGCTCCCCTAACGGTGGACACATGTTAATATGTCAACCACTTATGTGGCATGCACACATTGGTGATGTTAATATGTTTAAAAAAATACATCACCAATGTGTGCGTGCCACATAAGCAGTGGACATATTAACATGTGCCTACCGTTGATAGGTGAGCATTACTCTTTAAGATTCATTTAAAATACTACAATATTTAAAATACTACAATATTTATAATAAATAAAGTTGTATAACAACGTATTAAATAAATATTTAAAATACTAAAATATTTATTTATAATAAATAAAGTTGTATAACAACGTATTAAATAAATTATGGAGATTAAAATTTCTTGAAGACAACCATAATCGATGAGCATTCGCGCTCAGAAAATATAGGTCATGATTTTAGGAGTTCTATCTCCCTTCCCTAAACTTAAGGACTGACAGATATCCAAGGACGCATCCAGAAATTACGAGTAGATTGGGCTACAATTTTAAAAAATTATTTTTGCAAAAATCACATAATATTTTTTCTTCAAGTATTCACTGAAGTTGTACTTGACAAGCTTCTTTACGCTCATTTTGCACTGCGTATTTGATGTGCTTTCACTACTTTGATGTTGATCATGTTTCCTAAAGAATGATGATACATACAGGGTTATTCCTTTATTTGGTCGAAAGTTGGTGCTTCATGTAAATTTTTTCACAATACAAATAAGTAGATTTTACAGATGATATAGTTATTAGCAAAATGAAATGTATGCACACCACAAATTTATATCCAACTATGATATACAACAACTACACTAGATGATAAGAGATTAAAACACACACACACACACACAATTACTACTTCATACATAATCAACAAAACAATAATTGCAAGCAAGATCATAGCAATAACTATTAAAACCCTAAACAACTCAATTAAAATGAGAAGATAGACAAAGACAATTAGACAAATGAAATAAATATCTAATAGGGGTTTGAACATATAGCTTACTATTAAAGAAGAAATTAAATTGTCTTCATGAAAGTAGCTTTTTCGGGATCTTCTAGGGACAGGTAGTGTTGTACATAACTGACATCAGGTAGTCCACTTTGTTACCATTAGATTGAGTGAAGATTGAATATCAACCATTGATTTCATGTACAAACTATGTACAATGAAAAAAAGAAAGATTTTTGCTTTGTACATGGATTTGTACACTTGTACAAGCGAAAAACCTATTTTACCCTTACTATTACTTAAAATATAAATAAATTATAATTTGATGTTCCTATTTATTTTGAAAGTCTTATCTTTATCTAATTTATATATCAGTCCTTTATGTTTTGTACTTATTATTACAATCCATTATCTAAATGTTCATCTTTTTTATTTTTTTTAATCTTTAGATTTTTGTTCATCCATCGTTCTTCATCATCGCCATCGTT